CACGGCTGCATTTATTTGATCAAAAATACAGTAAAAACAGTGAAATATTATTCCAATGTAAAACAGCTGTGTTCTGTGTGAATATCTGTTAAACTGTAATTTATTTCTGTGATTAAAGCTGAATTTTCAGCATCATTACTCCAGTCTTCAGTGTCACATGATCTTCAGAAATCATTCTAATATGCTGATTTGCTGCTCTAGAAACATTTCTGATCATTATCAATGTTGGAAAGTATTTGTATGGAAAAAATTAAATAAATAAATAATGGAAACTAATAAATGCCCAATGAAGATTTCTATAGTGAATATACATTCTATTCTGTCATGCTCAGCTCTAAAATATTTCATAGCCAAGCAATTGCTCTCTTTATATTAATCTAATCTCAAAAATTCTGTTGGAAAACTATTTAAAAAGTCACCAAGTACTGGTCAGAAGGTGTAAGGGTACTACTTCTAAGCGACATTAATAATATATCCTCTTATATTTCAGAAAATGATTTCTACTCAGTTTTTGTGACTTGGTTATGATGACTAGTGCGTTTGATTTCATATTTGTTTGCAGGTACCACGAGAGAAGCTCAGCTCATTCCTTCCGCTTAAAAAGCCCAGAAGACTTTCACATCTCGACCGTTTATGATGAACCTGAATACGTGGATAAAGGCGATGAAGTGCTGCAGCGTCAACCCAGCGCTGAGTACTAGTGACCTTCACTAAGACTAGTTATTTATCATTGGTTGTTTGTCTGCTAAAAACAGAGCTGTGCATTATTTTAATCTGTGATTTTTGTATTAAAAGTTTTCAGCAGAAACTATAAAATGTAATTATTTTAATAATTTAATTTAATTATAAATGAATTAAATTATAATTATAATAATTATTAATATAATGAAAGTATTAATAATTTAATGCGATTTTTATTATTATTTTATATGTTTCTATTCTCCCTCTTTCTTTCCCTATTTTACATTTTAATATTATTGCATGGATACCTGAATATTTGTGTATCATCATTATTCATTATTTTATTTTTTTATTTTTTATATTCAGCATTGGGGATTGTTGTGTTGAGAATTAATAATTAGGAGAAAAAAAACTAAGATGATTATTTTTGGAAGTGCTTGTTTTGATATACAATATTTATTTTGAAAAAGTTTATTTTAACTTTAATCACACCCTCCAATGGCAACTAACCTGATCTCAGACATCCTGACTCGCAAAATGACTAAGAATAATCTATATCATTATTTTAGTTTTAAATTCTAGAGTTTCTAAATGTAAAAAAAAAAATAAAATTAGAGACGAACATATTGCATGGGACTTTTATCACAACACGGGACTTTTATCGGTCCTCCAGGGGTCACTTCCGGTTCGTTTTCGCATTGACACGTCACGAAGGTCAGGAGCAAACTGATGGAAAAATGGCGGCCACCTACAACACCTTCAACCTGTGAGTATTAATGAATTCCTCTGAAGCTCATCGATGAGGGATTATCGATTAGATGAAGTCTGCGGCTGTGTCTCAAAACCTAGTGAGCTGCCTACCTAGACAGCATGTTTGGCAGCACTTACAGCATGTTTGGCCATCATTATTTCCCTAAATGTTATTTAAGTGGGCAGCTTGTTGTGTTTTGAGACACAGATTGTGCTGATGGTCATCAATCTGATCAGATTACAGTCAGTTCATCTGAAAATCAATTAATCTCAACTAAAACATGCGAAACTGTTGTTTATTGATGCTCAGCAGCAGGTTACTTAACCCTTTAACATTAATTCAGCTTCCTCTTGTTGTTCTCTTGGTGCCATGCCAAAATCATACAGAAAATAATATATATAAAATAATAGATATAATATTTGTTGTCATTATAACTAATAATAAATACAGAAAAATGTAAAAGCAAATTATAACAAATAAATAAATGCCAAAATCATACAGAAAATAATAGATATAAAATAATAGATATAATATTTGTTGTCATTATAACTAATAATAAATACAGAAAAATGTAAAAGCAAATTCTAAAAAAATAAATAAACACACACAAGGGAGGTTACTCTATATAAATTGCAAGAAATTTACACAAAATGTCACTATATAGAGATGATTTCTATATTAAAAAATATATGATGAAATATAAATATTTAAATTTATTAATTATGGCCCCTATTTTGAAGAGTTTGATGTAAATGCTATGGAAAATGATATGAAAGTTAATTAAATGAAATTGAAAACATTGAAAATAATCTTAAATCTTTTAAATCTGTTGTTTTTTTATTACATTAATTCTTAATATCATCTGAAGTTTTAGAAATACATCATATGTTTATGAGAATATATGTAGTATAATATTTATTATTATAAATCATTAAAAAAAATCTATAAAATAAGGGAGTTTAATCAATATAAGCTTTTATGAATTTCAAGAATTTTATGAAATTCGCTTTGAGGATTGAAATTACATTTTCAAATGATTTTTAAGTGCCACAGAACTAGCAACAAATATACAAATGTGACCCTGGAGCACAAAACCAGTCATAAGGGTAAATTTTTCAAAATTGAGATTTATGCATCATCTGAAAGCTGAATAAATAAGCTTTCCATTGATGTATGGTTTGTTAGGATCGGACAATATTTGGCTGAGATACAACTATTTGAAAATCTGGAATCTGAGGGTGCAAAAAAATCTAAATATTGAGAAAATCATCTTTAAAGTTGTCCAAATGAAGTTCTTAGCAATGCACATTACTAATCAAAAATTAAGTTTTGATATATTTACGGTAGGAAATTTACTAAATATCTTCATGGAACATGATCTTTACTTAATATCCTAATGATTTTTGGCATAAAAGAAAAATCTATAATTTTGACCCATACAATGTATTGTTGGCTATTGCTACAAATATACCCCAGCAACTTAACACTGCTTTTGTGCTGCAGGCTCACAAATGTTTAAATAAAACGTACTTGCAGTATAATACACATGTGTGCGGTACATTATGCTAAATATTGGTTTCTGTGGGTCTTAAAAAACACACATCAAGGCCTAAATTAGAACGGTGTTGCATGAGCGCTGGTTATTGCAGCGTAATACGGACGTGAGGAGTGAATGTTACTGTACTGTTGGATGTAATGACAGACACACGACTCCTGAGAAGTTCTTCATCGAGGCCTGTGACGACAGAGACGTGCTCACCATCGACCGTGTGTCCACAGAAATGAGCCTCGCAGGTGACTTCATCTGCTCTCCAGCGACTGACCGAAGCTCTCTCGAGCTCACGAAGCGTTTGCATGAATCCTGTGTTTCTCAGTCAGTCCTTAGTTTAATATCAATGCAATAGGATGCAGATGCAAGTCATATTTGGAAATTACATTCTGCTGGGGTGTCGCTCTATTGAGCATTAACCAAAAAAATATTCAGTATAACACATTTTCTAAATTTGAATGTTATTAATAATAATGATCATTTTAAGCTGTTATTAATAATAATTAAAGTGTAGTGCAATGTTATAGTATAGTATATTATTCTATAATAAGAGCATAAATACCTATATCTATCATTCAAACAATAAATATCCAGTATTATACATTTAAAATAATACAGACGTTCAATATTCAGTATAATACATTTTAAACATTTTCATATTATATACTTTTATTAATAATAATGATCATTTTAAACTGTTATTATAATAATAATTAAAGTGTAATGCAATATTATGGTATATTATATTATACTATAATATAATAAAAATAATAATATATTTTCCTATATTATAATAAGAGCATAAATAACAATATCTATAATTCAAGCAATAAATATCCAGTATTATGCATTTAAAATAATACAGACTTTCAATATTCAGTATAATAATTTTTTTAAATATAATATTATTAATAATAATATTTTAATTTTTCAAATTATTAATAAATTATAATACTATAATAAATTATTATTTAATTTATAGTGTTGTGTAATATAATAAAAATGATAGATTTTCCTATAATATAATAAGAATAAATATTAATGTCTAGCATTTAACAACAACAATAATAAATATCAATAAACAATAAATATCCAGTATAATACATTTAAAATAATAATAATAGTTAAATTTACAGTTAAATATTTAACAAGAATCAATAAATATTTAGTATAATAGAATGCATTTTTGAAAAATTTATATAATAATAATAATAAATTACAATATTATTATACATTATTATTTAATTTATAGTGTTGTGTAATATAATAAAAATGATATTATATTTTCTTATAATATAATAAGAATAAATATTAATGTCTAGCATTTCAACAATACATATCTAGTATAATACATTTACAATAATAATATTGTTAATATTAAAATACAAAAATATATATATAATGTATGTTCTAAGCACTAATACCAGGCATTAAGTGTAGTTTCTTCTTTTCTCGTGGAGTGAGGAAGGATGTGTCTCCGTCAGCAGTGACGCGACCGATCTGTGGCATCATGGGAACTATTCGGCTGGTGGCAGGTTCGATCTCTCTCAGGATTAATGCACTGATTAACTCAAGGCATTCTGAACTCTGGTTTGATGCAATCGTGTTTTCTCAGGCACGTATCTCGTCGTCATTACAAGGAAGAAGAAGGTGGGCGATCTGCTCGGTCACGCCGTCTGGAAAGCCACTGACTTTGACATAATTTCCTACAAGAAGACGGTTCTTCATCTGACTGATACTCAGGTGAGTTCTGCAGCTTTCCGTGTGTTTCCATCGAATGTGTTGTTATTTGGGCTGGACGTTTGTCCTCCGGATTTATGGCACGCTTGAGCGTCTCTTTATTTAACCCTCATCCGAACCTATAACAAAATGACCCGAAGGCTAAAAATGACACTATTTTTTTTTTTTGGTCCAGAAATCTTATATTGATCCATTTTTATAATTTTTTTTCTAAATATTTATGTAGGTTTTTCTATTATTTTTTGGTGATTTTTATTATATTTACTAGGGATGCACCGATAGGATTTTTTGGGACCGATACCGATTTTAACAAACACTTATTGTCCGATACCGATACCGATATTTTTCACTTCTTCTCTTATTTGAAATTTTGGCATCAAAATAGATAGTATTTATGGCACGCTTGAGCATCTCTTTATTTAATCCTCATCCGAACCTATAACGAAAGTGTCCCTCGCTATTTGATTAGCATTAAAGTGCAGACAGCAGCGCTAGGATTATGCAACAGACATTATACAGCTCAGTGCCTTCACACAGTTAATTAATAAACCATCGGTTTGTTATATCGGCTTTTTCCTTATATAGCCGATATGCCGATGGTTGTAAATTGAGGAAAAATCGGTCGATAAATATCGGCGGCCGATACATCGGTGCATCCCTAATATTTACCTTTTATTCTGGATATTTTTAAAGAAAATATAAGCAAATAAGCAGTTTTTGTATATTATTTCACCAAAAAAAAAAAAAATAATAAAGACACAATTTCAGTCCTGTTTCATCAAAAACCAACAGATGGCCTTGGAATTGAGTCACTGAGTGTCTCTGATGCCATCTGGTGGGGAAAAATTACATAAAATTACATTTTATGGTTACAGCCACTAGAGGGGCCTATAGAACCCTATGGAGATTTTTAACTGAGCAAAACAAGTGAAACATGAGAAATTAGATAATCTTGAGGCTTCAATTTGGTTGTTTATGGATTCAAATATATATTGAAAATCCATATTTTGTAAAAAAAAAAAAAAAATTGCGTAAAATTATAACCTAAACATATGTATATTCATACAATTTCATAAATATGAAATAAAAATATTATATATTTTTAAATATATAAATATGATATAAACTCATTGGTCTCCACCACATCACTCAAAGGTAACTGTGTTAAGTAAAAAAAAATGGAAAAATGACAGTCATATCCCAGCAGAAACATGAAACGTATTATAATGTGTTCTATGGGAGTGTGTTTACCATGTGTGTGTTTGTGCGTGTGTGTGTGTGTATGTGAGTTTTTTTCTGCATTGGAGATATTCTGTAGTCTCAGCCCTTTGTTTGGGTATAAATCTTTACTGGATTGTCTCAGATTTTGTATATCAAAAAAAATCAAATGTAATAAAAAAATGCTGCTTTCTTGTAAATTCCATTCATTCCGAGGGACACTTTTGTTACTTTTTTTATTGCACCCATTTAAACTCCTCAAATCCACTTTTTTTTTGGTGTGTATTCCTGGTGCAAGTGTGACAAAATTAAAGAAATCTTCAGTTTTGGGTCAAAATGACCCGAGGGACGGATGAAGGTTAAACACGACCAAACCGAATGCCTCAAAATGTATTTCAAGCAGAGATATTTTTGTTTTGCTGTAAATTTTTATATTTTTATTGCCAGATCTCAAGAAAAGTTCACAAAAGCTCACATTTTACCCCAATATAAAAAACAAAACAAAAAAACACGTTATTAATTATAATGTTTTATAATAATAATAATTTTAAGTTGTTGTTGTTGTTGTTATTATTATTAATTATAGTGTATTGCATTATTATAGTATAGTATATTATATTATAATATCATAAAAATGATATTATATTTTCTTATAATATTATAAGAGCATAAAAAACAATATCTAATATTCAAACAATAAATATCCAGTATTATACATTTAAAATAATACTGACGTTCAATATTCAGTATAATACATTTTTTAAATTTTAATATATGATATTAATAATAATAATATTTTATAACAATAATTATTTAAAATTATTATCAATTATAGTATAGTATAATAAAATATTGTAATATTATAGTATAATATAATGATATTATATTTGATATGATACATTTTTTTATCATTAATATGATAAAATGATATATTTTCCAAAAATATAATACAAATAAATATTAATGTCTAACATTCAAACAATAAATATCCAGTATGATACATTTAAAATAATAATACACAGTTAAATATCTAACATTAACCAATAAATATTTAGTATAATATAATAAACTTTTTAAAAATGTAATGTTTTAAAAATGTTAAATAATGTTATATATTATTACTATTATTATAAATTATTATTTAATTTATAGTGTACCCCAATTAAAAAAAACATGTTATTAATTATAATGTTTTATAATAATAATCATTTTAAGTTGTTGTTGTTATTATTATTATTATTATTATTATTATTAATTATAGTGTAGTGCAATATTATAGTGTAGTATATTATATTATAATATTATAATATAATAAAAATGATATTATGTTTTCCTATAATATTATAAGAACATAAATACTAATATCTAACATTCAAACAATAAATATCCAGTATTATACATTTAAAATAATACTTTCGTTCAATATTTAGTATAATAAATAAATAAATAAAAGAAAATTATATAAATAAAATGGAAAATATGTTTCTTAAACATGCTGCTTTTTCTTAAAGCAAAATAATAAAAAAAATATTTTAATGATTTTAGGATGTCGTGACCATGTTTTTAACAGATTTTGTGAGATTCACCCTTTTATGGTTTTAGTTTGTTAAATAAATCAGACAAACTGCACTAGAGAAATATTGTAACATTGTTTTCAATTATTAATATTAATATTTTGTTGTTTAAGTTGCATTAATGTTCAGTGTTGGGTAAGTTACTCTAAAAAAGAAATTAATTGCTAACTATTAATTACATCTTCAACTGCGTAATTAGATTACTGTTTATGACTAATTATTACAATTATTATTAATTATAATAATAAATGTATTGCATTACTTACTACTAATTGCTTTCTAAATCTCATATCAGTTGAACAATACGAGACATGAAACTATAATAAATAATATAAAATTGCATAAATTATTCTTGAACTGACCAAAGTATTCAAAAGGAGAAGGATACATTAAAAACATATATTTTAACATTAGACGTTCAGTTTTGATGTTAAATCCACTGTTTTTTTGTTGTATTTAATGCAACTGCATCAGAAGTGACTATAATTAAAAAACAGAAGAATTAAGAGTAATCCCTTACTTTGTTACAGTAATTGATTACTTCGTAATGCATTACACCTCTTATGTTGCATTCAAAAAGAATAATTGAAAGTAGCATTAAAAACGATATTCTACAAGTGCAAAAAAAAAAAGCATTCTTATTGAATCTAATAAAGTCTGTGTGGATCTTTCAGATGCAAGACAACAAGGCCTTCCTGTCGATGATCAACAGCGTCCTGAACGCAGACGGTTTCTACTTCTCCACAGACTACGATCTGACGCACACTTTACAGCGGCTGGCTAACACCAGCCCCGACTTCCAGGAGATGACTCTGCTGGAGCGCGTGAGAGAGAGACGCTTTCACATCTCTGTCATAAAACATGCCATAATCCTATAACGCTCATCAGGTGAAGAGGGTCATGTGACTTCATGTGGCTTCTGTGGGTCTTAAATCAGAGCAGAAAGTCTTGAATTCATAAAGTCGTGGCATTAAATGTTGCATGGGCTGCAAAAAAGTGAGCATGAATGAAAAGTATTTCTGTCTTGTTTTCCAGTATCTAAACATCCTTAAATCAAGACACATTTACTGGAGATGCGAAATGAACACAAAAATTGGGATCAGTAAGATTTTTGTTACTTTTGAAAGAAGTCTCTTCTGCTCACCAAGGCTGCATTTATTTGATCAGAAATACAGAAAAAACTGTAAAATTGTGAAATATTATTATAATGTAAAATAGCTGTTTTCTATGTGAGTATCTGTTAAACTGTAATTTATTTCTGTGATCAAAGCTGTATTTTTAGCATCATTACTCCAGTCTTCAGTGTCACATGATCTTCAGAAATCATTCTGATTTGTTATCATATATAATCTAATATATTGCATATATTGCATATTAGAATGATTTCTGAAGATCATGTGACACTG